ACTACAGCACTTTCTGAAAAGCTTAAGGACGAAATGAATTTTTCCAAAATTTTCAAAAATCATAATTTGAAGTCATGGGAATATTTTTATGATGTCTCATAATGAAAAGAGTGAGGTTGAGGGGTTTAAACCTAAAAATAGGTCCTAAATGCTGTACGTGCAAAATTTAGTGCCTAAATTGTAAATACTGATGATATATTTTAAGAAGGGAAAGTGATGAAGATTATTTAGTAAGAATTCAAATTGAACATCTTTTGACAATTTTGAAATATTGAGGAACTAAAATGAAAATTAATTTTGGAGTAGATTTTGTATCTAGGAAATATATTTAATTATTGAAGTTGGAGAGATTTTTATATCACTATTGAGTTCGAAGGTTGCTCGTATTAAATCATGTTGAAATGGCTCCATTGAGTTTATGGTGAATTGCAATCATCTCACGAATTATTTTTCAATATTAACAAGGGATGAGTATTATAGGGGAAAAACAAAAAGAGTCGGTTTAGATTTCTTTAGAAAAAGTTTTGAAAAAGATAAATTTTTGAAGAATATGCTATTAAAAAGTAAGAAATATTATGACTTTATATACAAAATTATTTTATTTATTTAAAAATAAATTCTAAAAAATATATGTAACCAAGCGTGACAAATCAAGAATCACACATCACCCCCACCATAATATATACATCAAGTCAGTGGTAGTCACAAGAATATATTACTATTACTGTAATATTATAGTGCACACCTACTACTGCAAGTCATGATGAGAGTGTGTTACCTTTTTCTCAGAAAAGAATTTTCAAATTTTAAAAAATTGGTTAAAACAGCTCAGAGTCCAACCAATCACTGCCTTTTTTTCCTGTAAATCCTACAAAATTTCAAGCCCGTTTCTACAAATTTTTATATAACGCCAAAAGTTTACAGTCCGGCATTAATTTTCCGGCGACGGTTAAATTCCAAGATTTCCAGTTCCATTTTCTTGTATGAACTGAACTGATTCTGGGATATCAGGTGCAGAGTAATTTTTTCATTGAAAATCAAAATGTTATGCAGGAAGAGCTCAATTCTGAATGGGCGTGGATCTGTTTCCGTGTACCTTAATGTATATGATCTGACCTCCATTAATGGCTATGCTTATTGGCTTGGCCTTGGAGTCTACCATTCTGGTGTTCAAGGTCAGTTTTCTTTAGTATCTTATTTTCAGTTTTAATCTTTCTTTTTCTCAACTAAGTCAGATCTAAATTTGAATTATTATTATTAGGAACAGTTTGGGCATGTTTGGGTGAGCTTAATAGCTAGTAAAACCCACTTTTAAGTAAGTTTTTGTTTCCTATATGTAATTGGAAGATGACACTTATTTGGGCAGTAAGCTCATTTCCAACTTCTATGTCAAGTTATTATTATTATTATTATTATTTTTTTCCCAAATTATATTGATGAGTATTTTTTCTGTAAATAGGAACACTATCCTTGTTTCTTGACGAAACAATACTGCGCATCAAACATATTCCACCAGTTTATTAATTTGTAAATAGGAACACTATCCCTTATTTCTTGACAATACAATGTTGCGTATGGAATGTGCCCAACTAGTTTATTGATTGCCTTCTTTAAATTCTACGCCTTGTTCCTTGAAAATACAATATTATGTATCGAATATGCCCGACTATATTATTGATATGTAGTAGGAGTATCCATTGTTTCTGGACAATACAATATTGCATATTGAACGTGCTGACTCGACTAGTCCTGAACAAGCTATCCCTTGTTCCTTGACAACACAATACTGTGTGTCAAACAGTACCTACTAGTTTATTAATTTGTTTGGTGGGATTTTGCTAGTTCATGGAGTGGAGTATGCATTTGGATCTCATGAGTACCCAACAACTGGGATTTTTGAAGGGGAGCCAAGAAAGTGTGAAGGATTTACATACAGAAAATCACTTTTGATTGGGTGGACAGATATGACTAGAGGGGAAGTGAGGGGTGTAATGGATGAACTTGCAGAAACATATAAAGGAAATGCATACAATTTGATTTCAAAGAATTGCAACCATTTTTGTAATGATGCTTGCATTAAGCTCACTGGAAATCCTATCCCAAATTGGGTTAATCGGCTTGCTAGAATTGGTAAGCACTAAATTCCCCAATTTTATCTTTTTACAATTTGAATTTCAATATTTGAAAATCAAGTTGGTCGAGTTGAATGGAAAAGAATAGTGTTATATAGCACTACTGGTATTTAACACCAATTTAGGTGACAGTGGGTATGCTAATTCATTGCCCAATGAAATTGAGATATATTCTGATTCATTAAACAATGAAGCATAGTGCCGCATGGATGTAAATGCTATTTTTTAGTTCATAATTGAGACGCACAATTAAGTTACCTTGTTTTTGTTGCAAAGTATTGAGTATATTTGCCTACGTCTTCTAGGTTTGTTTTGCAACTGTATAATTCCAGTGAATTTGAATTCAACAAAAGTTGGGAACCTCAAAATGGAAGACAAGGTTTGTGAAGCCGAGAAAAAGAAACTTTGCAGTCGAGTTTCGTCGTCATCTAATTCATCATCATCATCATCATCGTGTTCGACAACCCGAGGCAGTCCAAGCAGAAGCTCTTTGCCTCCATCTTCTGCTTTGATTCTTGATTCTATTCAATGATTCAAATCTCAATGAGAGTGGATTTACAAAGACAGATCCTTGTTCCTTCCCTTTTTTTTTTTT